AAGCCCTAAATAGTAAATATTAAATGTTGCTGTATAACATCAATTATACATCAAATCAACCCCACATATGATCCCCTTCAAGAGAGACCCCCTTCCTAAAATGATTACACAAAATGTTTGATACCATTGAAATTTCATAATTCTCATCATCAATTTCAATATTACAAAAAACTAATACTCTCCTGGCTTTCGGTTTGGGGCGGGAGGTAGCACTAAAAACTGTCTACATGGGAGAATTGATATTTATTTGGATAAATGGGAGGGGGGGTTGCATTTCTGTAATCCACAGTTGTAGCAAGCAGGTGGTGAGATGAAAATAATAATGGCCATGGTAAACATGATACAGCTTCTAGTAGGAACTCGTGGAATTGGTAACACCACCCTTTTCTCTTTTTTCCCTTAATCTATTTACTTATTTATACATTTTATATTTACTTAATATTGTACTGGCTATTTTGCTTCATGCATGTTTTATTTTTGTTTGTTTTAGTGGTTTGTTTATGTGTCAAGTACATGATTGTTTATATTATTTCTTGCTTGCAAATAAGAAAATCAGTAAAGTGTCATAAAAAACTATACTTAAGTAAACAAACAAAATATGTCAAGCTTACTGAAAACAGGAAAACTATACAATAAGACAAAAAAAAACAATAGAACAAAAACAAATGAAATAGATCTACGTGGAAAACTTGAAGCACTTGAAATAATGGGGGTTAGAAATCGCATTCCGCATTCCACTCAGTAGAAATCGCATTCGGGGCCCCCCCTCTCGTTGGTTCATTGAAATCGTCCGAACCTTTCCCCCCTTAAGGTCTTTGCACACAGAGTCCGAAATTCTCATCTGAAATTTTTGCACGTTAAAAAATAAATACGACCTCAACTTGTGTCAGTCACGTTTGTCTGTCATAAAAAAAAATGTTTTGATTTCGGTTCGATTTTCTGTGTTTTCGCATCCGTGGCAAGCTTTTCGATAGGAAAGGAAGACAAATACGGAAAAAAACAAAAAACGCATACTAAAATTTCACTCTGTGTGGAAGTATGGCACCCCTGGATAGCACTAAGTTTAGCTATAAGGATGCTGTCACTTTAAGACTGAATGCACAGATCTAATATACACGTTTTGTTTCTCAACTGATTACGTTCACCTAGACTGTATTTACAAGGATAAAATGCCCAAAAATGGCCAATTTGACCATTCAGCACTTACGCTCTGTGTGAGAAACATCTTTACGTGTGTGCGCTCAAATCGTCTCTCTTAACAGTGCACACCTAGCCTATACCAACATTTTCGGTGCTTATTGCACTTGAAGGGTTTAAAATCATTTGTTTTTAAACCACAGCACTTAAAAACATGCTGCCTTATGTCTCTCATGGGACAGAGGATTAAAACATATTTAAATGACAATAGTCCAAGTTTATCTGGTTTATTATGTCTATGATAAATTGGACTACCTTCTCAACTGCACACCAATGCCCTGCCAACCAGCCATTCTCACAACATGATGGTGACTTTTGCACAAGCAAACCCATTTTGTAAAAAAAACAGGCGTGGCAAAATACAAATTCCTAATGTGGCCAAGTGGAAAAATAGGTGTGAAAAGTAAGTAAAGGAAAGGTGACAAGGAAGCTGAACAACAGAATGATGGCTTTGCCAACAACTATTCTGATGCCTCTTTTATGAAAAGATGTGTAGATAAAAAAAAAGCATTTGAGCCATTACACAAAACAACGGAGCTAGACTGAAGTGAAATTAAAGACAGGTGAGAAAGCGAAAGTGGGAGGTTGTGTGCGTGTGCGCTAGCACACTTTGTTCTGAATTAATGTTAGGTGGTTAAACTGAGCTTAACTGGCACTTACCTGGAAAGCTTGGGCACTTGGCAAGCAAAAGACAGTTCATGCCAGCTGAGGAACAAGTTCTACAGCACTTTGTTCATAGTTAACATGATTGAGAAACAAAGGAAAAAAATAATTATATTGCTACACAGTTCTATTATAAATTACTGTATAAAATGGTCCATCACTTCTATGCTTTTGGAAGAAGTATGTAAATATGCACCTCTTATTAAGTAACGTGTGCATATACTGTCTTTTGGCTTTGATCATAGATGGTGGATTAAAATCTTGTGGGCTATATTGCACATCACACAGATTCCAGGGCTGAAGTTAAAACACACTGCATTTGCAAATGGCTTAAGAAATGTTTGATGAGCACTGATGAATGTTGTGTAACAGTTGATGTCATATGTCGCATGACGACATCCAGTTCACGTCCAACACAAACACGTCATGACAGCACTTTCTTCAATCGGTTTAGGTTATTAATAGCCCATTACAGGATTCTTGAAAACTCATTTTGGTTCAGAACCCAAATGAAAGCCATTCCAAGTCTACCGATTTATCTTATGTCTAAGTAAGTGTATTTACCCGTCTCATTAGTGTTTAGTGCAGTTGTCGTTGCTAGGAAACGCTTGTTTTGTTTACTGTGTGGAGAGGTGCTGATATCGCGTTTGGTCTCCTTCTGTATCGCGTATCTTGTCAGTGTCTGCGCTTGCTTGGCCATTTGTTGCGGAGAAAATAAGGAAAGTGTGTCCAGCTGAATTAATTTAGTATTTTGTTAGATGGGTATAAAAAAGCTTAGTTTACCGCGACAGCCGTCGCGTGAAGGCCTCCTCGTATGCAGACCGAAGAGTGTAAAGACCATCGACTCTACCGTGCGACTCCACCGGGCAGGACACCGGCAAAGGATAAGAATTGCTTTTTATTTCTCCTCTTTCCTATTACTTGTTTCGCTTCTGTTTCAGTTTTTATAACCATTTCTGACTATGTGTAAGTAAGTTGTTGTTGTTTTAGCATGTGTGTTTGGCAGTGTTATTTTTTAGGATTACTGACAAACTACTGTCATTTGATTTGTATTAGTTATTTATTTTAATTTTAGTTACATTATGTCTGAATTTATTATGTCTTTTATTAAGTTTTATTTAATTTGAGTTATTTTAATACTTCAACAAACTAAATGGAAATGAAATAATATATATATTGAATTTATAAATGTGTTATGTACATATACAGTATATATGTATGTGTGTGTGGTTGTACATATACATATATGTAGTTGGTTTTTTGGTGTTTGGCTTAGTGTTATTTTAGAATCATTATTATACTCTTATACCTTTTGTTCTTTAATATTTTGAATTGTATTTAGCTTTATTTTTTTGTTTTTCATTTAAATGCTAAGTTTTGAAATTTTGTTGTATGCATTTGTCACTTTTATTTAATCTCTTTATTTTTAAAATCTGTATAGGTAGTATTTATAAAGTTTTAGCTTTTAGTTTTGGATCTGTTTTTAGTTGCTTTAATACTACAATTGATTGCTTCTGTTGTCCTCATTTGTAAGTCGCTTTGGATAAAAGCGTCTAATAAATGACTAAATAAAAAAATACATTTGAAGTGATTTATATTAAAATTCTTGAATGCTATTTTTACATTTTAATTAAATGTGATCATATACTCACACATACACACTCTGAAATTCTATGCATGGGAAAAAATACAATCAGTGGTATCCCATTTGAACTGAAATGATTTCACTTTGTTTTCTGCTTATCCTTAAATTAATTCCAAACTGTTTGCAAAGACTCAAGCTTTCCCAAATCTGAATGAGTTTCTTTCTTTTGTTGTTCAAAAAAAGATGCTATTTTGAAGAATGTTGCTAATCAAACTGTTGATAGTAGCCACTGACATCCATAGTATGGAAAAAGAAACACTATGGAAGTAAATGGCTACCAAGCACCTTGCAATGCAGTCTATATATTTACTTTTTTACAAATTGGCTGAAAAAAAAAGGGGCGTTTTGAAGAGCATAGTTACTGTGATGGGAAGCAACTTTTCTGTAGAAACCTGTTCTGTAGAGTGACAAATTGCACTTCTCTTTTTGGCAGTCTGATTGGCAAGTCTGGGTTTGGCAGATGCCAGGAGAAGTTTACCTGCCTGACTGCAAGTTTAGTTAAGGAGGGATAATGGTATGGGGCTGTTTTTCAAGGGTTGGGCTATGCCCCTTACTTCCAGTGAAGGGAAATCTTAATGCTTTAGCATACCAATACATTTTGGAAGTGCTATGCTTCCAGCTTTGTGGGAACTTTCCAGCATGTCTATGTCCAAGCGCATAAAGCAAGATCCATAAAGACATGGTTGGATGAGTCTGGTGTGGAAGAACTTGACTGGCCTGCACAGAGCCCTGACCTCAACCCCAGTGAACACCTTTGGGATGAACTGGAAAAGAGACAAGGAGCCAGGACTTCTTGTCCACCATAAGTACCTGACCTCACAAATGATCTACTGGATGGACAAAAATTTCCACAGAAACACTCCAAAATCGTGTAGAAAGCCGAGTGGAACCTGTTACAGCTGTGAAGGGGGGTCCTAATGTCTATGTACTGTATTTAGAATGTCATTAAACATGTGGTTTCCTAATACTTTTGTCCATATATAACTTGATTTGTTCACGTTAAAGAGCAGAATTAGATGCATTATTTGGAACAGCTCATACAGATGCTTTCAGTACTGAGACTTAAAGAAATGTACTTAGTACTTACCTAGCTAGTACTTACTTTAGATCCAGTCAAAACCAGATGCAATGTTGTATAATGAAACTTAAGTCTGATTCAAGAGAACATCTGATTCAACAGACCAGAGCATGACATGGAACTGCTCTTTGGTACGACACACACACACACACACACTCAAAAAACCAGAGGGAAACTAACACTGTAAAGCAATAAATCAACATAACTAGCATTCATTTAAAATGTTTTTAATGCATATAATAAGAATAATACTCTCAATAAAAACCAATAAAAATAAAGCACTTCATCAAGAATGATGTTTTAACAGCGTTCGTCTTTCCAACACTGGGAAACACAAATGGAATTCTCCAGAAAAGCACATGAGGTCAAAGGGTAAAGACATATTGTCACGCAAATGATGCAAGATGATCTGTTTTCTTTCTCATTCACACACACCCCTTTATTTCTATCTGCCAAAACATTTCACACTCAAATACAGAGGTGAGGTGACAACTCTTGAACGTGCGTTTAAAACAGACACTCAACGTAGTGTGCTCAGACAAACACACACATCTATGCACCCGACACGTGCGGTTTGTCACAGAGAAAGTCCTGAAATATAATCAGATCTTTGGTTCAGTGAGTACCATATCAGCAGCAGTGCAGCCAAGTAGCTAAAATGCTATTAGTGCAGACATCAAAATCCAAATGAACAAACTGGTGGATACTGTGCTTATATGTGAAGTTTTGCATTTGTGTGTAGCAATGAAAGGGACTGACTATTGTTTGAATAGTTTTCGGGAAAGTGTGAGTGAGGATTTTCTGTTAAGATCAAGTGTTTTCTGAGTAAATCAGCAGCATTCGGTCTGAGTCTCAGATGAAAAGAAGTATGAAACGCTTCTCCGTTTATTAAAATACACTCAGATTTAAGCTCCTCTTTGATTTCTGTTAGAACAGAAGATTGTGCAGGTTTACAGTGTACTGGAGGGTTCTTTTTTAGTTTATATTGCACTGGAATACAATGGTAGATTTCAACATACATACATGCTCACACACAAACATTCACACAAAGTAAGAACAGGGTGCAAGCAATAGGCTGCACAGCAAGAGTGCATTTATCCGTAGCCTTTCAGCGGGCTGTTCAGTGCTTACTAGGGAACTGTCAATCTGATGCCTGAATGCCAATCAAATCTACCTTAGAGGCTTTGTTGGGGTCAATGCCATGTTAACCACACCAAAACAACAGCAGGAAGTGTAAAAAGGAGTGTGAATTAAAAATGTTGACCCAGAACTTCTCGGTCCAGAAAGTAAACGTCAGTCACAAATGCCATAAAAACCAGAAAGGGAGGAAATCTTAGCGATTTTTCTATCTGTTTTGATCTTTTAGGTTGTTTGATCAGTTCTGGCGAGATACTCTAAAAGACACTGTTTCAGCTCTTCAAGAAGATCTAAGGTGAAGGATCTTCAGTGCCCTGAAAACCTACCTGACCACCTCCAATAAGATGGCATCACCTCACGACAGAGGTTTTGCTTACAGGAGGAGCTTGACAGAAGATCTGGTGAGGACTGTTGAGCGTTTATAAAGGCTAGACTGTGTATCCTAACTGCCAGAGTTATTGGTTGTTGCTTGTGTTGGTGAGGTTTTCCTGGTCAGGGAAGGAGCTGTTTATACCCAGACTGCTGAAGAGATCTCCGAGTTTGGATACAGTCTGCTGCAGCTCTGTCCGTTCCTGCTGGAGAGTCTTTACCTCCGACTGTAGCTCAGCCTCTCGATTCACTAGGCCGTCCACACGAGTCTCCAGCCATCTGATCTTAGCGTGGGCAACCTGATGGAAGACGATTATTGTTCAGTCCAAGCCAGATGCAATGTAAATATAAAGTCTAAAATATTCAAGAACTTTTGCAATGAAACAATTCACACTATATTTGATGCGATGAGTTTTTAATAAATAATTTTAAACAAAAAAAAGCACACAAATCAAACCAAAAGAAAACAAAACAACCAAAAACTAAAGTAAAAGAAAAAAAAAACGGAAAACAAAGCAAAGCAATATAAAAAAAGTTTTGCAGTGCAATATTATGGATGCTGTGCAAAGTTCATAAATATGCACCATTTCACTTTGAAATATGTATAAAATATTTAGGAAGAATATTTGAAAGGAAACTATTCATACTATGCCTGATGTTAACAGCTGAATAAAAAATACTAAACAATAAATAAAAAGCACACAAACAGAACAAAACAAGAAAACAAACAAAGCAAAAGAGGCAAAACAAATACACAAAAATTGATTCAGTGTGAATAAGCCTTTAATCTACGTGAATGCAATTATATAAAGGGATTCTGCTTGTGTTAGTATGTGCCACCTGAAGCTCCTCTAGGAGGTCTAAATTTTGCTGTCGGAGGCTTCCATTGGTCTTCTCCAACTGGGCCACGCGCTGTGATTGGCTGAGAGTGGAGGGACCATCCAAGAGCTCGTCCTGAAGAACATGATATTCCACCTCATAGGCCTGCAGCTGCTTACTGATATCCATCTCAGACACCTACATGGAGACATGTACAAATATACAAGATGAGAATGTCAAAGATGGGCAAGTCAAAGCATGTTTCTTTGTGTGTGTGTGTGTGTGCAGACAAACTTCAGTTTGTAAGATGAGAGAGGGGTGTGTAAAAAACTCTGCTGATGAATGACCATCCAGCATCCAAAAACAACAAAGTGAAAACATATGCCCTTTGTGTGTTCAAGCTCCTCACAACTTGCGTCTTGTTTTATAGTGTCATAAATTCCTAAAAAGTGGAAGGTGCTCACACATACATTTGATTTTACATCAAAGTAAATCAAAGATTTTTAAACAATATACTAGTTTTTTTTTTTAAGGAACAAAAAAATAAAGATTAGAAATTTGTACTGTAGCAAATGAAGCATAATAAAAAAGTTTTTTTAAAAAATCATTTTAAATATTTTCCTATAAGTTTTCATTATAAGGGATAGTCCTCAAAAAAATTCAAATTCAATAAAGAGCAGAGTCAATAAAGAGATATTTGGTTTTGCTTATCGCACTTGTTCATGTTGTTACTCTTGCTGTATGTAAATTATTTTCTTGCTGCTAAATCTATTAATTGTACATGGTTGGGCATCATTTAAAATATTCAAGAGATGAGAGAGAACTTGTGGTAAATTTCTTTCATGAAACACTTTTCATCATGTCAGACATAAAACACATACATGCACAGACACACACTGAGCAACACCCATACTTTACTAACTCCATCTATTATTTGTGCCGAGCTCACGATGAAACTAGTACTTATGCAAAACCACATATGAAGATGAACACAGGACACACCCGAGCACGAGTATGTGTTGATTGTGTAGGGAAAGACACACGTATATTGCTGTCACCACAAAAGCACAAATAGAATCCACACCCAAATGTGCCACCACCTTGACACTTAGCGCAAGTGAAAGGGCATATGTGTATATGCGAATTGGACGTCTATTTGGAATGCAGGTATAGTGCACACTAACACTGGCAAAGATGTTACCTGATTGATTGTTTTTTCCATTTGCACAAGGCCGAGATTGGGTAAGGTTGTTTTGATGAACTCGACAATTGACTCAAGATTGTCATGCTGCAGAATTAGAGGCTTGTGGCTACCAAGAAGACTCAAAGCCACCTTGAAGATGACCTCTGATCCCTGAAGGAACAGCATGTCTGGAAGACATAAAATCAATAAATACTTTTCAGTTTACTTCAAGGAATCCATTTGAAGATAGCAGAAAGTAGCAGAAAGAACATTTGACTACAATAGTGTATAGTAATACAATAAAAATATTATTTAAGTTCACAAATGAAGTTCAATAGTCTATTAACAGCATGCCTGATAACAAATATATTATGGTTAAACCGGTATTAGAATCCTGGCAGAGAACAGTAAAATGATCATTATTAACGATATACATAAAACAGTTACTTCATGTTATGGCATATAAACAATAAATTGGCAATATTAAAATTCTTTAAAATGTTGTCTATATAACTAAAAAAATAAAACTCTAAAAAAATAAAATAAATGATTTAAACTGCTTCACAAATCAAAATTTTAGTAATTTAATTAAATTGCTTTTTTTTTTTTATAAAACCAGTAGTTAAATAAATGTACAAAAAAATATATATATATGGTTTTAATAATTAATATTAAATATCTAATATGCAGAGGATGATTTTTTGCCTCAAAATCATGCTTTAAAATAATTTAATGCCCACCTAGCTGTGGATTATGATTAAAAACAATACTGAATAAAATTAAAATTAAATAATATAATACATTATTTAATATTAATAGTGATTTTTATATTATTTAATATAGTGATTTTTTTTCTCAATGTCATGCTGTAATATATATATATACAGGGCTGTACAGTGCGACATATATGTTGCACGTGCTATGAAAAAACTGGTTTGTGAGATTAATAAATTTACCACTGTAGCACACGTGCGATACAGTTTTGCATGTTCATAACACAGCCGCTTAACAGTGTGAAGTGTTTTCGTTGTGCTTGCTTGTGTGTGTGAGATTGATTATACTTGGCTTAGGGGTGTGCGCTATCACGATTTTTGATGGTGGACGATTAAAATGTCTCCACGATCTGCTTTTGAATAAATATCGTAGTATCGTGCTACAGCGCACATTCTATCAGCTGAAGTTCTGGCGCCGCCATATCAATATTCTGTACAATGCGACATACATTCACATCAGTGTTAACTCAGCAGTAGAGTTACACTTACGGGACACAGCACTTGTGCGCAATCACAAAAGTACATTATTTGCATGTGCATTAAAGCCTTGCCGGTTAAACTTTTAATTCACGTGCTGTTCTGACGTGCTTCTGAGCGCATACACATGAAGCCTGTGCACACTTTCAAACATAGCCTGATTACTGGACTTAACTTTAAGACTTAACTCAACTTATAAGTTGACTTTCGCGTCTGATTGATTTTGCGTCTAATACTGTCAAAAGCACACAAGGTTTACATATAAACACAGTTAGTTATGTCTAAAATGAAAGTAAACAGTTGAGAGAAAAACGGATGCGTGCAGCTCTTAAAGCGACAGTACTAAACATGCTTGTCATTAAAGGGATAGTTCACCCAAAAATTTAATTGTTGTTATTTACTCACTCACATGTTGTCCCAAACCTGTATTAATTTCTTTCTTGTGCTGAACACAAAAGAAGATATTTTGAAGAATGTGGGTAACCAAACAGTTGCTGGTCCACAGCGACTTCCATAGTATTTTTTTCCTACTATCAAAGTCAATGTGGACCAGCAACTGTTTGGTTACCCACATTCTTCAAAATATCTTCTTTTGATTCTTCAAAAATAACTTTTATGTTCAACAGACGAAATAAACTAATTCAGGTTTAAAACAACTTGAGTGAGTAAATGATGGTATAAAAATAAAACACTATGACAGAATTGACAGACAGATGACAGATTTTTCATTTTTGGGTAAACTATCCCTTTAATATTAATAAAAAAAAAAAAACAGAGAAAAATCACTCAATGCTCATGACTGATGAACTTTAATACAGTTGCTTAAAAAATTATAATTGATGTATATAGTGTATATAGTGTTTTATTTTAATATTTTTACTGCTAAATACTGAAATTAATATGTTACTGCTAAATAGTGAAAAATAAAGCACTGTTTGTTTTATTTGCATATTATGTGTTTTTGTAATGTATATCTTTTGTTCTTATTTTCTAATAACAAAGATAAAATAATAACAAAGATTTTTATCTTCGCCCACTTTGGCCTAAATTTCTGTCATTCTTTTTTATTTTATATTGTGTTACCTTGAAAGGCTTTTTTTTTACAATAGGGAAATTAGATTGGCTGTACTGCTCAGGCAACTTGCAAAATAGTAAAACCAACATGACAAAGAATTGTGATAAAATCGTGAATCGTGATATTCCTGAATAAAATGGTGATATGATATTTTTGCCATATCGCCTACCCCTAACTTGTGCTACAACTGTTTGGCCTGTGCTACAAAACTTTCAACCTCTGTAGCACCAGTTCTATGTGCAAAAAAGTTAACATACAGCTCTGATATATATTTTCAACAACGAGAAAAGCAGAAGAAATAACAGAATTGTTGAGAGTTGTGTGTTTGTTTATAGGTGTATGTGCGTGTAAAGACAAAGAAATGTCAATAGAAATGTGTATGTGTAAGTCAGTGTGTGTAAAACAAGATGCTTCAAGATGGTTCAAGCGATTACCCATGGATAAAGGTATGTGAGTTTGTGTCACAACGTCAATAACATTCACCCTTATAATCACACCACACACACTGTCACGGGACCGTGATTAAGCAAAACAAAGTTAGCGCCAGTCGTTAGGCATCAGTGATTGTGATTACCAAGCATAATTAACTTTAGCATGTCCACAGAAGATAAAGTGTGATGCAAAGAATAAAGAGAGTCAGAGAATTTAACATTCTGAAATAATAAATGGTGAAGGACAGATTGTCAATTGAAACCTCATCAGAATAATTGTATTCAGCAACAAATCGCAAAATGTACAGTATATATAAAAACCCTTATTAGTAAAACTTTAGGAACAATACCATAATGTATACAGTAATTTTACTGTTCTAAAACTTTTTTTTTTTTCTGAACTTTTGTATTTTTAAAATCTGATACAGAGTGAACTGATTTTTTTTTTCTTTTCAGACTCCAGCTGCCTTTTCAATTGTTATATATAAATAAGACGCATTACTTCAAGTATTATCCATGTATGTAGCATAACCGATTCAGGGCGAAATATGCAACAAAAAAGACTTAGGGTTAGGGGTTTTAAGAAAGCATGTGCAATAGCAATCACCACTTAAGAGAGAAAAATAACAAATAAAGTAAAAAACCCAGATGCAAAAATTCTTCCCCAACCTGAAAAACCACCCCTCAAGATGACAATTGATGCCAACTTGCAACATTTCGTTAATATTCCTCTGCAGACAGGGTGTGTCTGTGTACGTGCAGATACGTGTGCACCTGACTGTATATGGTAACGACAAAAGAGAGAGAATGCGCTGTTATATATGTGTTCCACAGAATTCTTGAGAATGGTATAACTGCAGCCTGGAGATCTCCACATGGGGGCGGGAACTCCAAAACGGGGTGGGAGCTCCAAAACACCACTGGCCACGAGCTTTGGGCTCTGCTCTCACGGAGAATATTTATTTATATAGCATATTTTATTTTAGATTAACTAGAAACAATGTTTAATTTATAAAGTTTTATTTTGAAATGTAAGTCAATAACAATTGGCTGGAGCCAGAGCCAATGGTGAAAGTGTTTGTGCGGGAGACCCCGCCCCATTTTGGAGGTTCTGCCCACTTTTGGAGTTCACGCCCCATTTTGGAGATCTCCAGTCTGCAGTTATATCTACTTGGAATTCTTCCAAACAAAAGAATGTCAAACATGTAGGCCATCTTTATAAACACTTCTAAGGAAATCGAGAGAATGGCAATCCATATCTACCACACTGACATCTGATCAGCCTGCAGATATCTCTAAACAAGGTTTAATTTTTTACGTTTTAGTTCAATAGAAGATGCTTTTAATCTGTGGCTGGTATGGCTTGGTGGTTAAACATCTGAGCTGGTAACAAAACCCAAGGTCTGTAGGTTGTACACAACTCACTATTATGCCCTTGAGCATGGAGCTTGTCCAAAGGGACTGTCCCTGCTTTAAATAAACGTGTTTGTTAAATGTATAATTATAAAAAGCATTATGGTAAAGGGCAAGCTCAGGAACTTGTTTTGATTGGAAGTGTGTATTGAGAGTGTGTTTGTGTATTGAAGAGTGTCTGAGGGTGTGTGCATTCACCGAACACTCGAGCCACAAATCCAAGAGGGAAGTGTGACGCAAAGGCGGTGAGGAACCAGGGAGCAGCATAGAGACTGGGGCTGATCTCGTACTGCTCCAGATGAGTGTACAGCTCCCTGTGATAGTCATGCAGCAGACGAGACAGCTGATACATCTGAATCTAAGAAAGATAGAAGAGAAAAACAGTTACTGACTATTTTTAGTCAGAAGAATATAAAAAATGCCTGACAAAATATTGCTATCATTTAATTAAACAATCTCTCTCATCTTATGAACCTTAACCATGTCGCTTAGTTGTGATGTCATTATTGAGCACTGCCTACAGTTATCGTAACAGCATCTTCTTGCATGCTTGGCTGTAGAATTATTTTTTTTTTGCTTGATTTGTATCAGAGCTGTCAAAGCGTACATATTACGTGATTGATTATGTTTATTTGATTTATGGTTTGCAGTAAATGCAATATAAAGGAATGCAATGCATTACTGAATATGAAGTGAACTGAACCCAATTAAAAAAATTTAACTTAAACACTGATCACACTGAAGGTTTCATGTTATACAAAATCTATCCCATAAACTACGTATTTACATATCGGGTCTATAGAACAATGATCTATACTCAGACATATGGGCTTGTCTCAACTATATTCAGATTCAGAGAAACAGAATGTGACAATCAAAAATCTCATTGTTTGTATTTTGCATTTTGGTTTTGTAGGGCAGAACATGTGGTCACACTGAAATCAGGATACCTCCCCTAGTGAAAAATAAATATACTTAAATGTATTTGAAATACATTTATTTCATGCTAGGTATACTATAAATACATTTACGTATTTAATAAAAATATCCTCCAATTGTACTTAGTATACTAAACTGGTATACTTGAAGTCTGCTAAATTGGAACATCTGATTTTGTACTCAATGCATTTTAATTGTGCGGAAGTAGTAAGACCAACTAAGTACATTTATAAGTACATTTGATGGTTCTAAAGTGGAACTATTGCAAGTATACTTCAGGTACACTTCAAATATTTTGCATTTAAAGACCAATATTATTCAAAGATTATACAATCCTCATCAATAGTGGCATTAAAACACATTTTAAGCTTAATATTTAGAAATGTGCATTGTGCACAAGTCGTACTCAAAATACATTTTTATTATAATTTTTATATCAGTAAGTCTCGAGCTATGTCAGTAAATATGTTAATAGATTTGAACTATACTTAGTATGAAATAAATATATTTTAAATATATTCGTTTTTTTACTAGGGTCTATCGGTAATATTATGAAAAATTTCTATAATTTAAAATACCATTTTCTGTTTTAATATATTTTAAAATGTAATTTATTCCTGTGACGGCAAAGATGAATGTTCAGCAGTCATTAGTGAAAATTTATCACCGAATCTTGAGTGTCACATTATCCTTCAGAAATCATCAAGAAACATTTCTCATTCTTATCAATGTTGAAAACATTAAAGAATTCTAAAAATTTTTAGGAATTTGTTTGAAGTAGAAATCTTTTGTAACATTATAAATGTCTTTACAGTCAATTTTGATTAATTTAATACATGATGTTTGAATAAAAGCAATAATTTCTTTTTAAAAAATTATTTAAACGATAGTGCACAGAAACCAGAGGAACAAATACTGTATCTAATTGGCTAAAGGACTCACCATTTATCCAATCACTGATAAATCTACACATAATGTTTATTAAAAAGGACTTTATTCAAATTTATTAACATTTAAATTTAATTCTATCGTCATTAATTCAACAATGTTATTCCAAACCATTTCACTTTTTTTCTTCAATGGAAAACAAAGCAGATTATTCTAAATAACGTACTGCTTACTGCAATAAAGTATTTGTCTGGTCATGTGACCTAAACATAGCAGCTACCATGAAGGAAAACCACCCTCATGATGAATAATAGCCATGGCTACAGTCTTCTTTTCATTTGTGTACATCATTTTTAAACGTGTCAAAAGCACCACTCGGGTGTAAAACATTAAGTGGGAAAAAATACTATTTGATGTCATCTACCGTACGTGACAATGTTAATGTTACTGTACCTGCAGTATGATCATATCAGGCCTGTACTGTTTTCGCAGCCCCGTGTCGTACATAAGGAATTTGAGCATGTGGAATGCATCCTCCTCACTCATATGGAGCAGCAACACGCCGGCCACAAAACTCAAGCCCTGGCAGTAACCCACCTCTGGGTCCAGCAGAGAATATGCCTTCAGTAGATTATAGAGAGACAGCTGGCCAGCACCCAGCTGAGCTCTGAAATACGGATGAGTGGGAAATGTACGTCCTGGGAGAGGAAGAAGAAAAATCATTCAAGTATTCTTTTTTTTCAGTGCAGTTTGAGTAAAACAATGCTGCTGTTGTTGTTGATGTTGGCAGAGGCATATGACCCCCCTTCTTTCAGCTCAATCTCCTCCTCTTGTGTTCAGTCTCATTCAAAGGGTTACTCTCAGGGGTGTGCAGCAATTTAGCCACATGTAGAAAGAAAGAATTGACAAAAGGAACAGAACAGACTAGGGCTCCAATATTTGATATTGTATCATCAACCAGGTGATGATTATCAACTCTACAGTATATGCTTATATTACCACAATGCTTCTCATGTAGGTTCATAAAGAGGCCAAGTATTTGTACACTTAAGTCACACTTTAGTGTTTGAATATCATTGTGTTACATACATAAATATCAAACTGTGGAATCTGCAAATGACTGATATTAGACTTATTGGTAACACTTTACTTAAAGTGTCTATGTATAATGCATTATAAAGGGTTATTAAAGGGTATAATGCATTCTAATTATTCATAATGTGCGTTGTAATACATTATATCTTGCTGTAAATAATTACAACTGAATTTAAAATGCACAGTGTTACAATTAATTGAAAAGTGTTATAATGTATTAACTGTGGTTACAATTATTCATGAGATTGTACAATGCATTATAAGATGCATTACAAGGAATAATTAATGCATTGAAACTTCTTATATAATGCATTATACATAAGGACTTTAGGTAAAGTGTTACCGACTTGCTGACTACTAAACTGATCTCAGAACTAAATTAAATTTTTTCCCCCAAAAGCAGGGATTGAAATTAACTTTTTCAGTCACCAGCCAATTTGGCTACAAAAATTTTAAGTTACCGGCCATTCATAACTTCTACTAGCCAAAAAAGATAAAAATAAAAAACCCAGAAATAAACCAACAGCTTGAGGCTGTCTACATTGAACGTGACCGCTGCAAATCATTTTGTGTCAGAACTAGAGGTGTGCGATATTGGCAAAAAATAATATCTCAATATTTTCTGGAATTTTATCGATAAAGATAATTAGACCATATTTTGCTGAGTTCTAAAAGTTTGCATCATCTTTTGAGACAAATTCTTACATTTAATCAGTCAATTATAATAATAATACATTTAGGCTGATACTAAACAAATGAAATCAGTATCAACAAAATTAATCTTTGCAGAAGTTCCATACGAAGTGGCATTTAGATGTATTTACATGTGTTAATGCAGCTTAGAGGGACATGGAACGCTTTAACCTGCAGTTACAAATGCATAAATAATGTTTTGATATTTTAAACATGACATTTTGAATAATGATATTTGAAATAATTTTAAAAATGAAAAGATACATTAGATGTAAAATTAAAACAATTAAAACCGCCAGTAGGTGGCAGTAAGTCACTGTTAATAAGTGAGTCATTGCGATTGAACCGAACCGGAACAAAACACCGTCATGTTGCTCAGACGCAAAACAGTACTGTGGCTTTGTTTGGAATTATTTTTGTTGGCGAAATAGAGCAAAAGCAGGCATGGTGTCTAAAACGTAAGTCTCTTGATATTAACTTATTGTTATTTGACAGCGTTACCCGCCACAGCTGATTTTTACCCGCATTTGGCGGGTTGGCGGGTGTTAATTTCAAACCCTGCCCAAAAGTAATTACTTTTAATGAGTTGTTTGGTTGATGCTTTAACACTATGCCAGCTTTCTTCGCTATTTTCATGGCAAGTGAAGTAACAAGTTGAAATAGTATAAAAGAGCAGTTTAAAAACCTATATAAAGGTTTCTGAAGTTAGCTTTAGATAAAAATGTCAAAATCAATTAAAGGTTGGCTCTGTTAAAAATTTAATTTCCCAAGTGAACTTAAACCAGCACAATTTCATAAAATATTTTTGAAAGATAATGGGCTCTGGCATGAAGAGCATATCGGATTTTCCTTTAATATCAAGAATTTGTTCGTGATTCTGAAATGTCCTATTCAGCATTGTGTATTTTTATTAGTGCTATCAAATGATTCATCGCGATTAATCGCATCCAAAATAAAAGTTTTATTTTGTGTTGTTGTTTTGTTTACATAATATGTTTGTATTGTGTATATTTATTATGTATATATAAATACACACACATACATTGGTCTATACACACATATATTATGTAAACAAAAACTTTTATTTTGGATGCGATTAATTGCGATTAATCGTTTGACAGCACTAATTTTTATTATCAGATCCAATCGGTTATTGAAAATAAAGATCCAACAGTAGAGTTCATTTCATACAGTTTGCTGTTCGTACACTGACACAATTCAGTTGTCCATTTGATGATGATATTATGGTAGTTTTAAGATCAGTGGGTGGTATGGAACGCTTTTTAATATCCAGTTCTGACCATTTGAAAAATACTTTTACTATAACATGAAAAAAGGAAACAGGAAATTTACAAAATGTAGACTATGGGTCAGTTTTACTAAACAGGGCAAATTAGCGTGCAAGCATAATTCCAAAACAGCGGCGAAATTTCTGCAGGAGATTTACTACCAACGCACAAATTAAAGAACATGCAAGAAGACACAACATCTCATTTACATATTGACCAACGCAATATACCAATCGCAGCGCAAATTAGCGTAGTTGCAAATAAAGAACAAAGAAATAAAGAAGCCACAGTACGTTAAAAAGAACCGGAGGCCAAAAAATGAAGGGTTGCAAGAAGTTTTGATAGACCTGGTATTGCATGACTCCTTATGTTGTCTTTTATTTCCTGAAGCAAATTAAAAATAACATGGCTTGGCAAACGATACGTTCCAATAATGCATTCCAAATAAATTAATACTTGTGGAAAAAATCCTCTCCCTTCTACCACGCGCTCTCTGTTCTCTGCGGTGCATCCTAGCAACAACAATTGCAGCCATTTCAAGCGCAAAATAGTTTAAGACATGGTTTTTTGGCATTAAATAATGACGCAAATACCAGTAATTTGACGAGCGCAAACGTTAGTAAATCGCATTGCGTGATTAATTTTAATACTCTCCTCCCATAAATTTTGCATTTGAAAGGGAAATTCCTACAAATGCATATTCAATAAGTGCCTTTTCAGCGCTAATTCGTCACTGCACGTCTTTAGTAAATCCTGACAGTACTATTTTAACGCCAAAAGATGGTTTGCGCTGGTGCAAGCTGTTGGTAAAACTGGCACTATGTATGCACCTGAAGTGGAATATAATGAAATGAAAACTGAAATATTGTGTCACTTTACATTTAGTCATTTAGCAGTCGCTTTTATACAAAGTTTTATACAAAGTTTTTTACTTGAATAAAAAACAAGTTCTTACTAATATCACTGATTGAATACTATTTAGTTGAATATATACATGACGCATGCAAGCATATGTATAGGAATATAGGAATTTTAAGTATTGCATTGAATAGGAGCTTTCATGTTCATGTCTGAGAGGGCGTCTTCCTACAAAAAAAATACATTCCTATAAGATTAGGTTTCTTCCTGTGCTGTAATGCTATCTATCTCTCTTTCTCCCTGCTGTCACTGTTCTGAGAGCCAACGACACCTCCCTTTCTTTGTCTAAGCCTCACCATTAATCTCTCCATCTTCACATCTGTCCATCTCCGCTAGTGTCTCAACCATTCATTCAGCTTGAGGTTCTGCAAAAGTTTGTTCTCTATAATAACGATCATTACGAGGTAATGATCATTTTGCAAAGAATAGAGACCTTTGTGTATACTCAGATGACAAATTTTGAATAAATTCCAGGGCAAGCATGAGCATGTACAACATGTATTTTAAAGAGAAAGGCAGAATAGCTGTTTTTCAGCACGCTAGAACAACATTAAGCAAGCTCACCAAATAACTGTCTTGTTGAGTTAATCAACTGGACATGTCTGTTGCTCAAGACATTTCTGGGAGGCAAAACATCCTGAGCAACTGTGAGACACACATGCAGTTTACTACAATAAGTCTACTAGATATTCAACAATGATTTAGATAACCAACCACCTTCAAAGACAACAAAGTACTAAGGGACAAAAGGACTACAGTAATGGCGCTTTTCCACTGCATGGTACGGCACGGTACGGCTCGGTACGGTTCACTTTTGGGGGGGTTTTCCACTGGGTACAGTACCTGGTACCTGGTACTTTTTTTAGTACCACTTCGGTTGGGGTTCCAAGTGAACCGTACCGTTACCAAAACGTGACGTGTAAACTCTGCTGATCACAGATTGGCCGGAGAGAATCGTCACTACCTGCGTCACTGAACTTCAGACACAAACACAACAGAACCGCTAGATTTAAATCAGCACAGCCAGCGAAGGATCAAACGCAACTGTTTGGAACGAGCGCACCTTTTTTTAACAACCAAAAACGAGTTCCTCTCGTTGATAGCAGAGGAGCGGAACCAGCGAGAGCTTGATGGGGCGACGCGAAATGAAAAAGTTTTTTTTAGGAGTCGTGGTAGTAGAGGCGGTGCAACTATAATGACATGGGAATAATCACGCCCACTCTAAAGCGGTACTGAACTGCAGTGGAAACGCAAACCGTGCCGAGCCGAACCGTGCCGTGCCGTACTGAGCCGTACCGAGCCGAGTCGTACCACGCAGTGGAAAAGCGCCATAACTGTTCCAAAACCTAGTAAGCTGCCTACCAGGACAGCATTTTAAGGGCCAGTCCCAATTGTACTGCTTTTTAATAATTGTTATAACTTTTCATGACAGACACAAGTGAAATAAAATAATTTAGATTATATTACAAAATATTATATTCACACACTACGGTTCAAAAGTTTGTGGTTAGGAAGAATCTGTGTTTTTTTGCAGGAAGTTTCTTGTGCAAAATATAGTAAAACAGTATTATTGTGAAATATTATGATTTAACATAACTTTTTTTTTCTATTTTAAAATATTTTAAATGTAATTTATTCTTGTGATGGCACAGCTGAATTTTCAGCAGCTATTACTCCAAACTTTAGTGTCACATGACCCTCCAGAAATCATTCTATTTTGCCGATTTGGTGCTCAAATAATATTTCTTGTTATTATCACTGTTGAAAACAGTTGTGCTGCTTATTTTTTGTGGAATATTATTTTCTTAAAAAAAATTTTTTTTAAAAATGACTGAGCCCAGAATTTTGAACAGTATTAATATAATAAATAATATATGTATATATGTTCACTCAACACCAAAAAGTACATTTAAATACTTTTACATTACATTTATAAATAACTACATAATGAACTACTGAACCCAACATTTGAGGAGTCCATGTAAAGTTAAAATAAAGTTAGTTATACAACTTTATTTTAATTTTTTTAGCATTTTAATGAAGATATATGTCAATATAAATACATTTAATAATTGTACGACTTTAATTGGGGAAAGCTGTGGTCCAAGTATACTGTGCGCTTCATGTGAGGAGCAATATTCGTGCATCAAGCACATTTGTTGCCTATGATGAGTGTTCCAAATTGATCACTTTGAGGTTCCATTTTAGTTAGATGGCATCTATGTAAGCTGTAGACAGCAAGGCAGCTCACTAGGTTGTGGCACAGACCATTGTGTTTGTAATACTAACCCAAGTCTATAAGGATGGCATGCTGTTGGGATGTGAGCTGCTTCAGAAGCTCTTTGTAAGGAGTCTCATTGTTAGGAGGTTTGGTGCTGGGCACCTCCTTCCTCAGCAAATACTGCTCTGATAGAAACTTCCAAATCTCTCCTCGATGCTGACGAGGAACGCCTGAGAGAGAGAGAAAAACAGAAAGAAGAGCAGAAACAGAGCACTTAATTGATGGATCTTTTGAATGTTTACATGCCTTGAGCACAACACCTCAGTTTTTGAGTGCTTTTTCAGTAGTGTGTGATCTCATCTGACATGTAGATGGATGTCCATAAAATCACTTCAAGAAGACAAAGTCAACATTGGCAACGGCCGACGTAAAAAGGTAACACGCATCCCTGCAAACCCCTCTCCATTCACACACATCCGAAAATGACATACACAAACATCACAAATCCAAAAACCAACTACAAGTGCAAAAAAAAACGGTTCTTTGTGTGATTTCTGTGGCACTAGCGGCACCAAACACAATTGCAAACACTTAGCATTTTGTCTACACTGCAGTTTATGATAGATAAACCAGAAAAGCAAAGAACTACACCTGATTCATTGTGATAACATGATGATCTCTGTGTAACATCTGCACAAGTATGTGTACGTGAATGTCTCATGTAAATGCCACAGTTGCACTGAACTTAAACAGGTGTGTGCTTGTGTGTGTAGGTGCGTGCAATCTCACCAATCATTCTGCAGAACTACCTCTATAAAAACCTGACTATCAAAGAGACAGCTTTTCTATCTATGAATATACACTCACACATTCTCCAAATAAACATCAAGCATGAAGACTACTTTAAAAACCCTTTTTCCAAGAAAATCGAATTAAAGGCTTTAAAATAACAAATGCACAAAGTTAACTCAGTTTATACTCCTCTAAAAAACTGAAAACTTATACACAAACTGTCTAAAACAACATACTACGTACTCTTCACTAGTT